AAAGTTTCTTTTACTTTCTTTTTGTTTCAAGCGTCTATGAAGATTTTTTTTTATAGCAAGTATATTCGTCGAATAATGACATTGCCCATCAGGTCCGTTTGTTTCGGTGTTTTTAGATAATTTAATATGAATATTACACTGGAAATATATTTAAATATGTACTTACCGTGTTCGTCCTACTTAAAAATGATTCAATATACAGAGTGATCAACTTACACTTTTAAATTTGATCTCTCCATATATAGAACGTTTTATATGAAAATTATGGAGATCATATAAAATTATAGAGATCATATAATTATTGTTTTAAATTTGAATTATTACATTTTCCACTACATTAGAACAGTTTCGAATACAATAAATGGATAAAACTTTAACATGGTAGACATTTAACATTACTAGAAGTAAGAAATAATGAAAGGCAAATATCGGAATAGATAAACCGAAAAATAATATTTGCAAACATATTATGGACTTCACAAATAAAAACAGACCAACAAATAAATCTATATATTATATGCTTGTATTATGATTTTGATTATTAATGTATGACAGTTCTCAATAATATAAATCTATTTATCTGTCTATAATTTATGTGAACTGAGAACTGTCAACTAGGCTATGACCATGGCAAACTATATACAATATTAATAAAATCATATTAAAAGCTAAAGATCACAATAACTAGTTAGATATAGGTATAGGAAATAATCAACGAATCTCAGAGAACAGTTACTAATAACGCCATAACATACGATGATGTATTTAAGAAAATTGCCTTGCAAGTATATTAAATATTGTTTTTTTTTTTCATAAAATTAAAGATTCATTAAAATAGATGATAAAAAAATTTATAGTGAACAAAATGTTTGCCTTTTTATTATTTACGTGTAAATGCGTAATAATATACATGGCATTATATTTAAAATTAGGAAGTTCTAGTCAACTTCCGGTATAACCGGAAGTGGTATGAGGCTCTAAATACTTTAGATTAATTGGGCATATCTAAAAGCCCATATAAGAAATTTTCAGATATAAACCCTTCACTGCATCATGTTTAAAAACAACATATTAAAAATAAACATTCATTTTAATAGCAGATAAAGATGAATCAGCTTGTGCATGACGAAACAATGCAGTATTTATCAGCGTAAGTAGACTAAACAATCATACATGGCGTTGTTTACCAATATTGTGTCTTCTTAGTTAGAACAATGCAGTATTAATCAGCGTAAGTAGACTAAATAATCATAGATGGCGTTGGTTACCAGTATTATGTCTTCTTAGTTAGGTAGTGTACACGATTAGACACTGACACGTGCTTCAGATTGTTTTTGTTAGTTTTATCGAAGTAATTTGAGTAAATATATTTTATGTGTTATTAATAAGGTAAGTAAAATGCATGATTTCTTGCGGTATACAGTCCTGCGCATATTTCCCCCACAATGATGTTTTTTGTTGTTGTTTACAAACATCATGCATATCTAGTAAATTTCATCTTTTAGATAAAACATCATGAGTTGAAAAGATAAAAGGTAGCTGACTGACAAGGAACTTGCTGATATAATAGATAGGCTTTGGGATTTTTCGATCCAGATTTCTTACCTGACGAACAAGTTGGTACATATGATTAGTCTGATAATGAGGATTTTGAACCAGTGAACGAAATGATGAGAATGCTATGACACTAAAATAGTTAATAGCACTGTAGAGGAGGAGCCTCCAGAAACTCTTCTTTACTTAAGGCCAAAGGTATACTTATTTTACAATCAATTTGTGATCAAAAATACTAGATTTTTTTTATTTTTAGACATTATATAGAGAAAAAAAATTGAACTTATCCGAACAGCAACAGCAACTGGAATTTAAAGGAAATCAGAGTCTTCCAAATTATATCCTACAACTAGAAAGTCCCTATGAATATTTTAATAATTTAATCTTCAGAGAAAGACTTTTATACAAAATTAAGGAGGAGTCAAAATTTATATGCCATACAGCAGAATCCTAACAAACCACTGAATATTACACGTGACAGAAGTTTATTGGAAATACAATATATGTCCCTTGTTCATTTGCCCAATACAAGGGCATATTGGTCAGAAGAAATTGGCTTTAAGAAAATAAAAAGTGCTATATCAGTCAACAGGTACGAAAAAATCAGATAATTTTTACATTTCAATAATAACGAGAATACCTTATCCCATGACAATCCAAACTACGATAGAGTTTATAAAATTAGACCAATAATTGACCATCTCAATGAAGCAATTTACATGATACATGAAGCAGTACCTACCAAACAAGCCACATAAATGGGGTTTAAATTTTTTGTCTTATGCAGTAGCTCTGGATATGCGTATCGTATAGAATTAAATACAGAACAAGAGAATGATCTAAAAACAAGACCTGCTTTTGAACCTGACCTCGGAGCAACTGCAAATGTTGTGGTGAGATTGGTTAGAATTATTCCTACGAATATGAGCCACAGGCTTTATTTTGACAATTATTACTCTTTCCAAACAAGGTATTCACAGTTTAGAAACCGTCAGAAGGAATAGGATTCCAAATTGTAAGCTTCCGGATGAAAAGGCTATGAAAAATGAAGAAAGAGAACTAGTGGAGTTTGTTGGTACTTGCGATGGTGTGGAAATAAGTAGCTTAGTGTGGAAAGATAACAAATTGGCCACGTTTGTATCGACTTTCGCTGGTGAAGTTCCTGAAACTACTGCCAAGAGATATGCCAATAAAGAAAAGAAGTTGTCCATATCTTGTACAAAAATACAACCGTCATTGGGCAGTGTTGATTTGTTGGGACAGTAATATGGGACGGAATAAAATTATTCTAAGGAGTAATAAAGGGTATTTTATTTATCTACTAGATCTAACCGTTGCTAACAGTTGGATTCTTTACAAGAATTCAGCTGAACATAGAACTGGTGCGAAGCCTAAAGTCACACACTCTCAGATTAGAACACAACTAGCAGAAGCATTATGGTGCTACAAATAAAGAAGAGAAAAGGCCCAACACAGGTTATGCCCAGTAAAGGATGCTCTAATGGATGGAATTCACCATTGGCCTGTACGATCCGAAAAACAAATAAGGTGCAAATTTCCACAGTGCAATGGCTATACACATGTGTTGTGCGAAAAGTGTGGTGTCACTTTGCTTCACTAAAACGAAGAACTGTTTTAAAAATTTTCATTTTTCCTAAATATTGTTTTATGTATATCCGTATTTGTATAGTGTTGTTCATAAATACAAAAAAAAATAGTTGTTCAGATTTTTTTTATTATTTTTTCCGGTAAAAATAACGAAAATCCAGTCTGCAAACTTTTTTTAAAGAAAAATAAAAAAATCATGCGGTGAAGGGTTAAGTATGTCAAGTTCCTCTATAACGTCTAATTGGAACTCCCAGATAATCATCCTGTACTTTACAAAGATCTCTCAAATTTTACGATTAAGATCGAGCGTCTACGGCGCAACTGTTTTAAAACGACGGTCGGAGAAAATTAGTTTCCCACTAGTTTTCAACGGTTATTTTAAAACAGTTGTGTCATGGGTGCTCGACCTAAGATATAAATGTTTCAAAAGGAAAGGACCTATTAAGTAAGTGTTGTTCGTTTTAGTAGTTTGTTCTCATAAATTTTCTATATATAATCATAATACATAATTCTTTACTTACCTTTTAGTTTCATTAATTGTATAGATTTCTCGTTCTACACTAACTAAATATTCAATAAACCAGGTGTGATTATAGTGCTAATATAGTGAATCGCACCTGCTTTACAGAATCCACACTAAGTCCCAATTTTGGTATTATCAACTTTACCGTTAAAAACGTAGGTATATTAGCAAAAATAAAATACAAAACGTTTTAAAAATATTTCACTTTACGGAGGAATTAGTTTTGTTAAAAAAATACTGCATTAACGGGTGATTTGACATTAGTCTAAACAACTACGCCATTCAAAAGAGTCAACTGGGCACGAATGGATTAACCACCCACCGTATTCGCCAGATCTAGTTTCATGTGAATTATTTCCTGTTTGCAAACTAGAAACATCTCAAGGGTACTAATTTGTAAGAAACGATAAGTGGTACTCACTCGGACTTAAGTTTAATGTCAATCCACCCTCATAATGATGTACTTTAGGTGTTTTTCATAACAATAGCGATGATTTAAAACAAAAAATCGTACAAAGAGAGTTTTTAACAACTTTTTAAACGATTTAAACAATTAAATGTTTTGAAATTAAGTTTTATAACTCTACTAAAGTGCAAGAAATACTTTTTCACTAAATAAATTCGATCTACTGGGACTACACCTCGTTTTTATGAAACTAAAAACCTCTGGGATTAAAATATAGATACCGAAGTATCGAATTCCACAACTGAAATTTAGCAAAAGAAAAAATGAACGTTATTGTTTGAATTTTTATTGTTTTTCAACTCATCAACAAATACAATATTCGATATTAATAATATATAATTTTTTTTGTATATAAAATATATAAAATAGTACGTCTAACAAAATTTTTCACATTCAATTGATCTACGTGAATGTTAAAGCACATATAAATGTTAGAAACACAAAAATAGGAACACAAAATAAGTTCAAACTGATTCAACATTGAGTATTATAAACGAGAAAATACTTTTGGAGGTTAATACTAAAAAACAAACAGGAGCTGCATTGTAAACAAATAAAAAAAATAAATAAATAAAAAATTTCAGGTACAGTATCGACAATTATTTTTATGATTGCCTTTCAGATCCTCTAATAATACGTCATTAGTCTATAATTTTGAAAAAGAAACATTATTAATATTTTCTTCCAACTTCCACCAAACTACATATAAGCGGGCTGTTCAAAAACTATTGAAATAAAAACAAATACACTGGAATACAACCTAAAACTATAAACGTATACAAAAAAAGTGACATTTTAAAACACACAATAGTTTTTGAGGACCCTGTAGGTTGAATATGTTTTACTGACCTTTTTTGGGGGCCTTCTTGGAGTTGCCGATTTTATCGTTTACATCTATTAGTCTTTTTTCTAACTCTTGCTTTTTTTCCGCTATTTGTTCGTCCTTAGATTTGCCAGCTACTTTTTTATCTACAACAAAAAAAAATACGATGAAAGCAAACAAAGCGCAACTATTCAATAAAGTCGATAAATTGTTAGTTTAATACAAGAAATATTCAAATTTATATTAACTGGCACTCTTTACCAAAATTCTAAAATCGACCTACCGGGCTAACACCCGGCAGGCCACTGACGTTGACCGATGAAACATTATTTTTCTTTTAGATGACAAATTTATTGAATCCTAATTTTTTTTTATCTCCTTCAACGAGTCCGATTGAAACGAAACCAATCTGAGAAAATTGGATTTGTGATTGTTTCAAGACTGCCTGCCAACCGAAATGTCAACAAAAACAGGTGAAGGACTCATTGATTTATTAGATGATTAGATTGATTATGTCAGATGATTAGAAGTCACTGAAAATGGTTTTCAATCGCAAGTTGTCAAACAAAATTCTTGCTCACAGTTGTGACTAAGTATCCTAGCATTTTTAACAAATGCTATAAAAGATGCACCCCTTCAGTACTTCACACCCAATATAGTATGTATTGGTATGAGGTACTGAATATAGTATGGTACATGCAACAGTCGATTGTGCACAAGTAGAAGAGGGTGGTTTTAGTTGGTAGGCAAGATAACAGGAACGCATCCATTTGCAGTACCTCCTTCTAGGGGGAAATGGGCTCAGATGTACTCCTCTAACTTTCAGCCATCCCTAGGGATGGGTTAACTGGTACTGTTTTTAGAAATTTCCATCATCATCATTCTGGCTTTACAACAGAAAAGCATAATTCCTCTGTGGTTAGAGCATTCAAAGATATTTTAGAAATTTCCACCCTCAGGAAAAAGGTACCCTATACCCAAGTGAAATGATTGTGCTATGACTTCTACTTCTATTCTCTCCAATTATTAAGTATAACACCATGGTGCCCAGAAGATATGATACAGGGGAAAACGGCATCAGACAATATTTAACAGCATTTTGTCTTAACTCATAGAAATAAAATGGACAAAACACTAAATGAGATGTACCAGACGAGGACTCGAAATTAAGTGACTTTTAGATCTTAATAACTACAAGATCCTACAGGCGAATCTACAGCACAGTAAGGAACAGTCTGTCATTCAAAGGGTTACTGGATGAACTGGATATCAATAGAACACTGTTATGTGACTGAACGTTACTGATAATCAAACATAATATGGAACTGAAAGCACAATAGCGGGAAAATCGCTAGGGTATTTCAAAAACAAACGACAAGGTGTAGTAAATAATTGCAACATTAAGTTTGCAACAGTTTGATACTAAAAGTGTTATTATAATATGTCATATATACGTTTTATAATTTGAATATTTCTTAAAAGCTTCATAGAAACTTGTAACTGCGTTAAAATATCTACAGGCTAAGTTTCTACAGCAAGCGAATGAAGCTGAAAATGAAAAATTTAAAGCTAAATATGTACTTATTGCAGAAATAAATAAAAAATCACTATGTCATTCCAAATAGCCATGCAAAATAACTATACAGAGATATGATCAAATCTAATAAAAGTTACAGTGAAAACATCTGTATTGACAGGTTCAGCATTGAGTTTAGTGTTAAGTAAACAGTTCACACCAGTTTTGAGAGCTGTGAAACCTTTTAAAGGTGGATAGAGCAGATAAATGAGCACGACCAAGAAACTACATTGACTAACTTTTGTTATCAGCAGATAGTTCTTGTCCCTAGACTTCTATTAGGACAAACAACACAGTCTGAGTCATCTGAATACTATGGAACTGCATCCTTTTAAAAGCCACACTTTCGAACATGAACAGGAAGTACTGAAAAGTGGACAGGAAAACAGTGATGACGCTTCAGAAGGAGCAAAAGTGAGCGATCATAAGCGTGCAAAGAGGCATAGGTTCAAATACAAGTTGAAGCAGACTCTACAAGTCAAATTGCCCCTTTATGTACAATCTACAAATTATTCACTCACTCTTCTATCTATCAAATTAGCCTTCTTTCGGTCCATCCATTCTTCTCTGTCTGTCGCTACAGTCATCCATCTAGAGCCCACGTGCTTCTTGATATCATCTGCCCATCTCATTTGTGGACTTCCTCTGCTTCGTTTATATTCCCACGGTCTCCAACTTAAGAATTTTGTTCCATCGGTCTTCTTTTTGTCTTATATTGTGTCCGGCAAATCTCCATTTCAATTTTGCAACTTCTTGTCTAACATCCCTCACTTTTGTTTTCTCTCTTATCCACTCGTTTCTCTTTTTATCCATTAGTCGTATGTGCAACATTTATCTTTCCATTGCTCTTTGGGTTTTTATGATTTTGTCCATGTTTGCTTTTGTAAATGTCCACGTTTGGGAACCATAGTAAGAACAGTGAGTATGCATTGATTGTATACTTTGGTCTTAAGATGCTGTGGATATCTTTTGTTTTTAAGAATGTAGCTTAGTTTGCCAAATGCCGCCCATGCCAGTCTAACTCGTCTTTTTATCTCTGCTGTTTGGTTTTCTTTGTTAAGTTTCTCTCACTCACTCTTAACAAAACTAAAACAAGGCACCACATCCTGCAGAAAACCGTCTATAAATGTACAAACTGCTATAAGAAATGAATTTTAAAAATTATTTAGCATTCGGTTGCTGATTGAATTAGCTTGGTTACTTTGCATAAAATGCTCAATATTTCCAGCTAAAAAAGCATAGAAACGATATAAAGACATTTTCTATTATTATCACTCCGTATATATCCTTACATGGCTTTTTGGAACGACTATATACCACAAATGTGACTTTATTTTCTTTTTATATTGAAACTGAAAGATTACGAAAATATTTCTGCAACAAGATTAATGTTTTCGTTAAAACTATCACCAGATGACCAGCGGTACCAATGATTACAATTAGAAATACACCCCCAAAATGGTAGAGCATGCGCAAAAATGCAAAACAATAATTTGAGTAAATATAATTCGGCATTTATGAAGTCAGTTACTTTTTATAACAAAATAAACAAAACCCTTTAAGCAAATGATTCCCTAAGGCTGCTAAAAAGAATATTAATATTCCTGTGAATATATTATATAAATGAATGAAAATTTCAAGAAAAATGTCAAATTTTTTGCTTTTAACAATCTTAGTTTTAATTATGGATCGCAAAATAAAAAAGATATGGGCGTCTCTTATATTGACATATGTATAGTACATTTAGAAATCACTTTGCGTTTAAATTTAAATTATCCAGATATGATGTGACATTTGAACTACTCCTGTTATGCATCATTAGTCATGAAATGTTTAGCTATCAAATTTACTGTGAAAATCCAGAGAGTAGTTCAAATGTCACATGTCTGGCGAAATCTGTGCTGTATCTATAGACACAAGTTAATAATGAAGACACATGTCATCTACGAGACAGTAGTTCAAATGTCACATGATGCCTAACAGAAAAGTCATTTGCCAACTATTCTTACTGTAACAGGTATCCATGAGGATATTGATCTGAAACTAGATTCCAGCAGAGAATTTAATTGTACTGTGCAACTATAGATAGTATAGTTAATAATTTCCAGTTTTGTAGTATTTCTTGTCCATAGAATCCATCCTTTGTACCTTGAAAGTTAGCAATTACAACAAAACAACAATCGATAAAAATGTCCAGATATACTAGGTTGAACAACAGTGAGATCACAGCAATTCAGTGGCCAACAGCTTCTCCTCACTGAATGCCAATTAAAAACATGTGAAAACACATAAAAATCAAAATAAAACGTGCAGTGCCTCTAACGAGACCTGATTTAGTGGCATCCAGATGCTTTATTGAATTTTTTTTTTTAATTTTCATACTCTTCTAGATTTACTGACATATGACAAATTGATCTGAAATTAAAACTACCTTTTGTGGATACTTTGTAGCAAGTGACATTTTTCTTGTTATTTGTGGACCAGTCATTAATAATGAAATAAATATTTTTAACACTATCTAAGTGTATATTGAAGGAATATTGACATTCTAGAGCATTTATTTAAAGATAACTATATCGACGGATCGTTGATAATAGATTATATCTACAAAAATTTTATTCTTTGTAATCTCATCACACGAAACACGGTTTTCCCAGTCCAACCACTCTGCAATATAATCACTTGAATCCATACAAAATTGCAGGTAAATAAACTTTTATATCATTGTAAATCAGTTTCTTTTGTTTTAGTAACATAATATGTAGTCGATAGATACAAAAGAACAAATTCTCTTTGAATAAAAAAACATTTGGAGCATACAGATGAGGGTGTTTATAATTTTGTTGTAGAGAAACCTTCCAAATGGCGATTTTTGTAGATAGAATCTATAAATGAGAGTCCATCGATATAAAAAATGAAATAAAACCCACAAACCCATCGGGAACGTTCTACCATGCTTAAAAATGTGTAGTTCCAATTACATACGCCTGTTATATGCCCAATCTTACAGGTTTGACAACATTATAATTGATACTTAAAAATAAAATGCACTGATTTGTTATCAAACCTATAATTTTGACATTATTTAAGTAAATTTCGAAAATATTGGGCATATGACTTGAAGGTGGTCTGGTGCGCAAAAGAGACGACCTTTTACTAGACGTGAGGTAACGGAACTTACAGTATGGCTTACGTGGCTTTTTGCGAAGACACGACGCAACGTAACTCTCTAATTCTCTTAAGGTTGAGGGTTTCAGCGTTTCGAAATCGATCTCGATTTCGTCAGGATTGGAGTCCCTCAACGACGGTTCCCTGGATTGGATTATATGTACAACTCTACCCAATTTGTCACCTGCAACAAAAAGTGTATCATGCACACATTGTAGCTGAAAATATTTAAAAGAGGATAAAAATATGTATTTTAAACTTTATTTCGTATCGAGAGAAAGTTACGAGTCTAATTATGTAAAGTATGCAAAATATTTACAAACTGGACATATAAAAACATATTTTTAGTGTTTTATTTGAATTATTGTTGATATTGTTAGTCGTCACTAGTTACAAGTAAGATTTTTGTCTGTCTGTATTTTTCATATCCCTGAGCTCCCCAAGAACATATTTAATTTCTCCCCTTTAATTTGGTCCTTTGAGCCGGATTTGAACCAGCAATCTATGGGTCATGGAAGAAACACATATAAATATTTATTTAACTGTATGTACAATTACTATTTTTGCAGACATATATTATTAAGATGGTTGATTAGTGATATATCTCTTGGATATGCATGAAATAAATAATTTAAGATTATCAGCACAATATTTAAGTTAATCTTCTAATCCTGTGATTTGCAAACTAAATATGAATATTAGTCAATTTATTACTCTTTTTCAACCTTTCAAATATTTGTAGGTTTTGTAAATCATTTTGAAGAAATTCTGACCATTTTTCTCCTGAAAACGTCAGTTTATTATGTAGTTCTGTAGTTATAATACACATTATTCATAAAACATTAATATAATAAACTGTATTCCTAAGGAATGGCAACTCGAGAGTGATTCATTATTTCTCTCAATACGAAATAAAGTTAAATGTATTTTCAAAAGTATAAATTTTATAATTATGGTTTACAAAAAACAACTAAAAATCCTTACGTAACTCAAAATATCGAAACAAGCTAACCGGGAAAGTTGCTCTATGATCATTTTCCAACTAGATAAATTTTTACTTAAAAATTCACAATTTATTAATAAATATACTGTATATTGTTTATAATGTTTTGATTTAAAGCATAAATTTAAAGATACGATCGTCTAAAACGGGTTTAAGATATTTGTGTTGCTTTTGTAACATATTATAGAAGAGAATTATTTGTCAGTAATGTAGTAAAATTTACAAGCAAGGTACTTCAGAGTCAAATCTGATTTAACTTCATGTAGCATATCCAAAATAAAATTTCTGCAAAATGAATTAAAATAAGAAACCTTTTATAAAATGCAATATTATCAAATAGGTGAAACAACAAAAAAATTAAACAGATGGGCGGAATATTTCGAAGATTTATTAAATACAGACCAACAAGAGGAACTTAACGGAAATGAGAATTGGCAAGAAGATGAAAGGACGTGCGAGGAACCAACTCTGAATGAAGTCAAAGAAATAATAAGAGACCTAAAAAGTAACAAAAGTGCAGGAGAAAGTGGTATTTCCCTGAGATTTTTAAAAAGGTGGCGAAAGATTTAAGGAAAGGATGTTTCACTTAACACTAATAACTTGACAAAAGGAAGAAATGCCGAAACAATGGAATAGTGCTCTTATTTGTCCTATCTTTAAAAAAGGGGACAAAACGGAGTGCGAAAACTATACGAGATATAGCACTATTAGAAGTAGTCTATAAATACTTCCAAAAATATTAGAAATATTTTAATAAAATATGATAACAAAGTGATTCTAGAATACCGGGAGGTTTTAGATCAGGAAAAACAACTACTGACTAAATAAGTATGTTAAAATTAGCTACGAACAAAACTTAGGATTACATAATATGCTATTTATCGATTTTAAACAAGCATGCAATTCCCTAAATTGAATGATGCTATATGAGGCCATGAGAACATTAGAAATACCAGAAAAGCTTCTAAGGCTAGTGGGAATGACGCTTAAGAACACGATGAATAGTGTAACAATGGAAGGTAGCTTTTCAAGATAGTTCACAGTGAATAGAGGTTTAAAACAAGGGGATCCACTTTCAACGAATTTATTCAAACTAGTATTAGAACAAATTGTAAGAAGATCAAATATAAGCACAAACAGGACTATTTTCAATAGCAGGGAACAGTGCATAGCGTACGCGGATGATGTAGTGATACTAGCGAGAACAAAAAAAAAACATTTAGAAAAAGTTTTCCGAAGTTTGAAGAAGAAACGAAAAGATACAGATTAATAAAAAACCAAACAAAAACGCAATATATGGAAATGAGAGGAGACATAACAAATAATAAAAAATATATTAAAATGAAAGGAGCAGAGACTGTCTATAGTTTGGAAAAGTGTCAGAATTTGAATACTTAGGAGTAACCATAACGAACACGGGAAAAGAAGAAAGAGGTAGACAAAAGATTAATGAAGGGAAGCAGAGCGATAGGGTCACTAAATTCATTACTAAAAGCAAAAAATGTGTCAAGAACAGCTAAATTGCGTGTCTACAAGACAGTAATCAGACCCACAGTGATATATGCCAGTAAAACGTGGATTATGAACCAGCAGGAAGAAAAGAAAGTAGAGATCTGGGAAAGAAATATGCTCAGAAAAATCTTCCGATGAATAATGACGGCAGAGAATATTTGGAGAAGACGAACGAATAAAGAAATAATGAGGATGTATGGAAAACCAGCAATTACAGCAAAATACGAGCCAAAGAGCTACATGGCTTGGCCACATTATGTGAATGCCAGAGAATCGAAATGTTAAAACAATACTTAAGCAAGACTTGTCAGAAATAGGCGTGAGAAAGCAAGGGACTGAAAAAAATGGAGGGAATTAAAAATAACCAAGTTTTTAGAACACAGGGGCCTACAAGGCTTGTAGCGCTGTTCAAAATTAATATGTTTAAATATTGCTTAAATTTCTAGTTGGAGAATCGATCTGTGTTCTTACTTATTATTCTCTCATCAAAAATGCAAAGATATTGAATCGTTCGATCGAATCTAGTTTCTATAGTCTCGAGACTTTTTTTTTACTTATGTGGCTGTTTTTTTTTTGAGTTCACAATGCTCGAACATAATTCCTGTGAACATGCTCTGTTATATCTACTTACATTAATGGTACGGTAATGATGTGATCCAGCACCTATTATTTGTGTATTTTTTTTGTCATTTTGATGCATGGAGCCTGAACCTTTATGACAAAAAAAAACAGCTGACAGTATCTAACTAACTTTTTTTGTTCGGTGCTAATGCAAATTAAATTTGATCATTTTTGGTTTTTTTTTAAGAATAATTAATGTTTATTTCGATTTTTGTCTATATTTTTAAATATTGTCATCAATATCAAATGTTTTAATTCTGTTCGATTTTTTAACAATGCTTAAAATATCAAAATATGTAAATAATGAAAAAGTTCAATTTTCATGAAAAAGTCAATGAACAGATATAAATACTGCTTGCTAATATCTCACCTGGTAATTTATTAATGTCCAAAGACAATTGCCGTTTTTCGTCATAAGACATCGGTTTGGCATTATCTTCGTCCTCAGAATCGAACTGCATCGGTGGTGGTTGTGCGGCGTTTTTCTTCCTACCCGCGCCAGCTTTGTTGTTGGCTTTAACCCTCTTGTTGGGAGCCGCGTTGGTAGCTGCAGCGGGTTTATTGCCGCGGAGTCCTTTAACAAATATATAATATTTAGAATACGGCGCAATTGACGAAATTAGTAATTATGGTTATTACAAAAAGCGAACTAAACACTCCCAAACTTTTGTTAGCCATGCTTCAATATACTAAAAACTACATACTAAGATCATCACTACAATACCATACTAACCAACATTTGTAAACGATAAAAATATTTTGTAAGATCGGAAGCTTAAGTCAAACAACAAGCTTGATCTAAAACAGAGGTCTACTTCTACAAATTTCCGTTCATTCTGGTCAATAAAGGTTAATTAGTGTCTTTATCGAAATATTCGTCGACTCATTTTTTCATATGATTAATTTCTTACTCTACTAAAATAATTTCAAAATATAACTTCAGACTTGTGTGTATGACTCAAAATAGATATTAAAAAACTGAACTAACAGCTTTGTTGTTACTATCAATTTATCGGATAAATCAACTGGTTAGAAACTAATCGCAAAAATCTCTGTATTAATTGATGTGTAAGGGTTGTGTATCATTTGAAGTCGCAAGACAAGAAGCGGACAAGATATGTAGAAATAAAAAATGAGCCTATGAAAATGGATAAATAGAAAAAATGGAAGAAAATTTCAAAAACAACGAAATTAGAGGGGCTTACGAATACCTAAAAGATAAAAAGTGGGTATAAACCTCAAACAAGTCTATGTAAAGATGAAAGTGGGCAAATAATCAGTGACCACCAGCAAGTAAAAGAAACCTGGAAGCATTATTTTCAGACCCTACTTGGTACACAAGATGAAATGGGTACGAACTACATAGAAGATAATGAATAGAGAATGGAGTAGAAGCTCCACATACAGGAAGTTCTCGAAGCTATTAAGGCCCAGAAAAACAATAAAGCTCCGGAGTTGACGAAATACAGCAGAATTGTACAAGGTAGGTGGCGACCTAGCAAGTCACATCCTCGTGCTCATCAAAGACATATGACAAAAAGAGAAAATACCCGACGACTAGAAGAAAAGTATAGTATGCCCGATCTATAAAAAAGGAGACAAACTCCAGTGCAAAAACTACTGTGGAATTTCTCTACTATGTACAGCATATAAAGTCCTCACGTATATTATAAACCAGCGGCTCCAACCACTAGCATAAAATATTGGAGAGTATCAGACGGGTTTCGACACTGGATAAAATATTTACAGTCAAACAGATCTTGAGTAAATCATGGGAACATGACATTGATGTTCATAACATGTTTGTAGACTTCAAACAGGCATACGACTCAGTCAAAAGGAACAAACTCTACAATATATTGGCTGAATTGCCAATACCACACAAGCTAATTAGACTCATTAAAGCCACAATGGATGAAACTCAGTCATGTGTACGAATACAAAATCACCATACAGACTTCTTCAAAATTTCGCAGGACTAAAGCAGGGAGATGGACTGGTCCCAACTTTGTTTAACTTGGCACTGGAGTATGTGGTTAGGCAAATGCAAACTGGATAAGGAAACCTACAGATCAACCGAATGGTTCAATTGGCCGCTTATGCCGATGATATTAATATTATGAGTAGAACATTAACAGGGGCACAGAAAAAAATACGCACAGTTAAAAACGCAAACAAAAAGGCTAGGTCTGGAAATCAACACAGAAAAAACAAAAATAATGATACGGGCGAGAAGAAATATAGTCCCACAAAACATGTGAGAGTAGAAATATATGCCGACGGATCAGAAGATGGAGAAATGCCGAAGAGAATAACGCAGGCAAACAAGAGCTTATTTTGCCCTCTCCCATATATTTCTGTCTAAAAATGTCCACCGAAATACAAAGATGAGAATCTATAAAACCTTAATTCGATCAATAGCACATGTTATGGCAGTGAAGCATGGGTCCTGAAAGAAACATCCAAAAGCAAACTCAACACATTCGAAAAGAGAAAGTACTGAGGAAAATACTAGGACCTGTGAGGAAAAACGGAATCTTCAGAAGTCGATACAACAACGAGCTTTATCAACTTTATCACTGTCAGACTTCATTAGAATACAAAGATTGCAATGGGCCGGACATGTGATAAGAATGGGTGAGGATAGGCTACCAAAAAGAGCAATGAATGCCAGAATGCAGGTAAAGCAAGAAAGCGTGGGAAGACATAGTAAACAGCGACGCACAAGCTCTGCTAGAAGTCTGTGTATGAAGAAGATCAGCCACAGGCAAGCAAGGGTGGAGGCAAAAAATAAAGGAGGACCAAGGCTCAATTTGGGCCAATTCCTCAATTTGGGTCAATTTCTCAATTTGGTTCAATTTGTAATGCCGTAGAACAAGAAGAAAGGTTGTGCTAAGATTATAAGAGGAAGGTAGAGTAAATTTATAAGTATTATAAATTAATAAATTTGCATTAACAATAGAAGGAAACGGGCGGTGAATTTTAAAAAAGCCGTAACAGAACTGAGTAATCTGTAAGTATTGAAACTGAGTATTCAGTACACTGAAAAAGTTATCAAAACGATCCAAATTTCTTAAGTAATGGTAAGTTTTGTGATGAGGCCAGTTATTCAATTAATGGAAACGTACATCGGCATAATTGTAGATACTGCTCACGTAAAAACCCTGGTTGGATGCGTGAATACCACACAAAGTATCCAGAAAAACTTTATATGTGGGCTAGAATAATAGGCAACAAAATAATTGGCCCTTTTTTCAATGCGGGAAACTTACAACGGTCTGGCGTATTTATATCTATTAGAATATAGTATTGTACTCGTGGTAGCCTATAGAGGCCTTGTTTAAAGGTAAAGACGTTGCATGTTTATTGTAATAAATTAATATATTTGTTGGGAATAGGTTTCGTTCATTAATAATATTTTTTGTGGCCTATTCGCAACAAAAATAGTAATTGCATTAGATGCCACAAGAAAATAGCTTCACAACAGTATTGCAGTAAATCTATTGAATTAAAAGGAGAGTGTGTTGAATAATAAAATACTTTGGTTTTCATTTTTTTGCTCCTAAATTAGCTAAAATTTTCAATAAATCTTCATATAGTAGTATCCACTATAAAATGACAGATCAAAGAGCAGACCAGAGGTCAGAAACGGAACACACAAGGCAGTATAATGCATTAAAATACATGTTTGGCAACATTTCGCTACTTAAGACATCTGCTCTTCGACCAAAGATAATATCCAGCTTCTGAGGATACTGTATGGATTCGATCATAAATTGTAACTTTTTTTAATGATCAAATAAAAAATTATTTAAATTCATTGGAGACTACTATCATAATCATCCTTAAATTTAGGGAGTACCTGACAGACTACCAAAGCAGAACATTAACACCCCACTTTGTTACAGCAAGACACCACACCTCTACAGAGTACCAAAAATAGACAAAGCAAACGTTTCCCTCAGATCAATTTGCAGCAGGATCAGTTGGTTCTGCTCGCAAGAAACTGTCTATGAAAATCGTTTGTTTTCTGTCCGTACACAAAGCTCAAAATGGAGATTTCTTCACGGAGTTCATGTATTCGTCAGGGAATTCAGAAGAGACGTCAGCAATTTGGTTGTGAGTTTCTTTATTCGATGTCTGATGAATAAATTGCCGAGAGATGCACAAAGAGTTCTCAGGATGTTTTAAGCGTGAATATTTTGGACACGGTAGTTTTTTTGGGTGCAACTGGACCCTTCAAGTATGTTTGGGATGTTCGATAGTTGATTTATTTGGGCGGAGGGAAAGTATCTTCGTTTGCAGTTTGTTTTACGCAGAATACTGCTTTACGAAGGCAAACAATCTTCTCTTGAGATCTTGACCAGTAAAGAATAATATGTTTGTTCTTGATTGTTAACTCAATCAGAGAACATACTCTTACGAACATGCATTCAGTGTGGCCCGTGTAACGGTTGCATCTCAGGCATCGAGAACCATCCATAGATCTCTCGAACGCAAGAGAACGCGTAGGCGAATTAGAGGTGGGAATGTTCTAAAATATAGTAACTTTGGTATATATATGTAACGATGTTAGGAGTAAGTTTAGTTGATAAGATAGTACCGAACTGTAAAGTTATAAATAAATATATTTATATAAATTCGAACCGCTCGTTTTATTTAAAAACGGTACAATATAATGTATTTTTTGTGTGTGTGAAGTGATTCTTCTTCATTCATAATACAGTCTTCGGAACCAGTCTGCAGTTGTCCTTACAGAACTAGTCATTTATATCATTCACCATTATTGTTTTCTCGGATAGTGGGGGTTACTGATAGTACATATCGCATTTGTTGCTGAATTGTGACAGATTGTATAGAGTTGGATTCCTGGTGAGGAAAATAAGATGTTACCCTTCCTCTCTATTTATATTATGGGGATGCATTCAGATTTCAACCGCTTCAGGAATTTTTATAGATTTTTAGAGATTATTTATTTTATTAATCCATATGAAATGTCTTGTATCTGATCAGACCAGTATGATGTGATATGTAGATCAGATTTTGACAGGGCAATAATTTTCCCCAGGCTGTTAAGTTGTTGCTCCTAGAAACTTAAAGTAGACAAGTTATTCTGACCAATAGCCGTAAAACGGTGAGGAAAAGGCCAAATCTAAAAGATTAGTTACATCTAAAAATATTTGCTGCATTTCCACTTAATGATCAACCAGATATACAATTCTAGCAACAAATGATCATCTACAGCCAGTATATTCTTCAATGCATACTATTGAAGCTTGCAAGCTCGTTGTCAACGAATCTGGCATCAAAAACAATAGATTTGCATATTTATATGTCAGAGACACCATTGAAAGCGGAAAAATCTTCCTGGATCGTTTGATAATATAAATTTAAAGCATGACCATATTTGAAGTCTCAAGAATTTAATAAGACACTACAACTTTCTTATTTCATGTTAAGTAAAGACTAGAAAATTATTAAACACTTTTATTATACTTTTTATGTTTCATCTTCATCAATCACCTGCTACTACCTTATATATGTACAGTCAAACTATACATGATGCAAAAAATTTTGTAAATGCAGTATTTGTATTAAATATTCTATGAAGAAAATGATTTTATTTAAGGATAATACAACATGCATTGATAGCAACAACTAAGCGTTAAATGTGAAAGCAACCATGTGCATATACCACAGTATAATCAACAAACAGTAGTAAAAAGCCATGAATTGAACTGAAAGTTCTTTTTAATGATTTGTTTAGACTCCTTCCTTGAAGAACTAGATTTTTTTCAATTTCACTTTATTATGAACTGACACTATCGTTTCTATGTAACGAATTGGTTTGGAAACAAGTCACTTTTCAAATAATCATCATGGAAACAAATATCATATGCATCGAGCAAAAAGACAGACGAGGGAATGTAAAGGTAGTGGGGTAAAAATATTCTTAGACGGGAAGTGCCATTTTGAAAGGCCACATTAAACAAGGAAAGAGAGTCTCTTTCCTTGTTTAAGAAATCAAATTTAGTTGGGTTATGTTATTGTTTGTCCCAACTGTCACATGAAATCTTATTTATATTGAAGTTTTTTAACAATTGTGTCACATTTTAGAGTATTTCGTTAATATTTAATTAAAACTTTCTCGTCTAAGGCACATTCTGAAAAATATTTTATAGCTACTGTTAATAAGTGTCGGAAAATTTAAATTTGGCGCCTTTGCATTTCCGGATATGTCCGCCATATTAAGAGGCCACTTTTATGAATTTTGGTCTCCTTTTCATAACGATTAGATTCCCTCTTTTGTCTTTTTGTTTAATGATAATATGGCTATTTTATACGTGCGATAAAATATCAATGATTTCATCAAGGATTTACTACTGTTAGTTATATACTGTAAAATATCACAAAACCAAGTACCACTTAACTACAAGTCGATAGTGCTGAATTATAACATTCCCAATGTCAAATATACCGATATTTGCAAATAAATAAAGGATAAAGTGTCTCACCTTTACTTTTAGGTGTTTTAGCCTGTGCGGAAGCGTTGGCGCCAGCGTTTGCCGTCATGTTGTGATGCATGTTCAGGGACTTGCCTGCCGGCGGATGGTGAGCGCCTGTTCCAGTTTGCGGATGGTGCGACTCGGCCATCTTTAGATCGGCGCCCGACACAACACTGGCGATGCTGTCGTCAACGCTGTCCGCCGCTATTGAGTTGTTGTTGTTTGACTTGTTTAGAGCCCCGTGACCACCGGCACCCGGCTTACCCAAGCCCGCGCTGCTGCTGTTTGGTAGAGTTGATAGGGAGGCGTTCGCCAGAGACCCACCTGATGTCGGTTTCTTTTTTACTTTGTCCTTTTTCTTCTCTTTTTTCTTACGCGTGCTCTCGTCTACCAATTTACGCATCTTTTCTTGCATCGCCGTCAACTGAAACAAATACGGACACTACTTTACAAAGCTTACCAAAACTAGAGTTAATATTATACATCACTATGTACAAAACCATCTAAACGCCCAAAAATGTAAAAAATATGGATTCTATTCTAAGTAAAATAACGAGATTGACGTCGTGATCCGTGAACGTGACTAAAGGTGAACATGAGCACGACAATTCGCGATTGGACACTCCCACCCATTGCATCAGTTGCGGCGGTTTACGTTAAGGGATAATCTTACTAACTGAGCGCGTTCGCAGTATTATAGTACATTTGAAAATGATTGATAGCACAGAGGAGAGGGTCAATTTATAAGCCTTCAACTTTCTTAGATAGGATTAAAATTTCCAAGCGGTAGAACGTTTTTTGCAGATTGTGAATCATTTTAGTTAAGATTAACATTAACATGTGTTTGTTAAGTCCTGTGATTATAACACGCAGAATTGTTAGTTCGATAATAAAAAGCGATATTAATGCACAAGTGAACTTGTGTAGTAAAAATGTCACAAACAGCTACCTATTTTACTCGTGTGAAATTAAAGTATTATTTAACCGTGACAATGAAAACTTAAGTGTTCAATGTACATGATGCTCTGATGTTTCAGTGTTCAGATATGACGGAGAACTGTTTATATACTTTTAAAGCAACGAAAGGGTGGAAGCATTACAGAAGCACCTAAAACGTCAACAGAGAGAAAACCTATTCATACAGACGACAGTGTGAAACAATCGATTCGAAGAAAAATTCATTAATTTTATTTACAAAAAAAGATTCCTACTTTGGATAAACTTTTAGTAGACATTGAAGAGGAATCTTTGCCAAACATAGAGATAAATTGTTGAAAACTTTACGTGAATTAGGATTCGTTTATGAAAATAACAGTAAAAAATCTGTGCTTATAGAGAAATAAGAAATGATTTGGTGGAGGGGGCCATATTTAAGGGAAATTCGAACATTGAGGAGAGAAAGCAACAATATTTTTTATTCAGTTGAAACATGGATAAATGAGAGGCATTTTGTAAAAAAAGTTTGGCAAGATAAACTGGTTAGAAATGCTCTTCTGGCATTAGAACGTTTGTCTAGGTAAAGATCGTTATATTATCACTCATAGTTGAGGAGATCAAAAATTTGTTGATGAAGAAATGACTGCTGATGTTTTTGAGGAATCTTTCAGTCAAATGAGGAAATTCATATTAAGTTGTAAGGAAATGTCCTAAACCAATTTAAGTATTCTTATAAAAATTAATGTGAGTATGTAATATTGACATTTTTTAGTTTTTTATATTAAAGTAATTTCAGTTATTGCTTAAGGTTTGCTCATTTATGATGTTTTGTATTTGAGGTTTGTCGTAGTGGTCATAATAAAGTCGAGTAAAAATTCAGATAAGAAGGTATCGATTATTACGTTTTTTCTGCATTGACCACCCTGTATTTAGAGCTCTGCTATAAAATTTTTGCTATCATCCAATTTCAAATGTACTACAAATGAAGGCACCCCTTTCAACTGTCAAAAGTGACAACGATGTCTCTTGAAGTTTCGAGAATCAAAAAGCTCTAAATAATGTGACTTTGTTAGACAATCATGTTTCGATAGTTTACTAGTCTACAGGTTTGCTTTGCATGTAGGATATGTATAGTTAATCACATGTGAAAGTTACGAAACATAAATGGTCATTTTGAATAAATTTTGATGAAAAAGCAAATGCTGTCAACTATTAAGAACTACACTACAAAAATTTTCATTTAAAAAATCAAATCTCGGTCAGTAAAATCGCGTAGTTTTGTACAAAAGAATTTATGATAAATAAAAAATATCACGATCAGATATAATAGTTGAGAACCTTACCTCTTTTTCTAGCAGCTTCAGTTGTTTGTTTCGCCTTTCTTCCTCTGAATCTTCGGTATCGCTAGAAGAATCTGAGCTGGAACCGGATGTACTCGATTCTGATTTGGTAGGGATGTTATTAACGGCAGGGGCTCCTACCCTATTGACAGGTTCGTCGGGAATCTTTGCATATCTGGAACAATAACGTGATGTGAATATCGAGTAATGATTTATAATGAATTTAGATGAATATTGTTCGTGATCAGTGTTAAAAAGCTCGTAATAATTAATGTAAATACATCACAATTATCAGATTAAGGTGTCATCATGTAAAAAATTATTTATATCATAACATGTTGTAGTGTGGCTACAAAATTTCGATTCTGTTCAAGTTACAAGTGCGGCGACATCGACAGATTTCCAGAAGCATAGGTGCACCATATACATATAAGGAGAAATTAAAATGTGGAAGTAAGTCGATGATATAAATTTGTATAGTTCAGAAAATAAATGTTATAAATTAATTGTGTCTTTAGTGTTAGTGTTAGAACACTGCAAATAAATTAAAATAAACATTACAATAGGATTTGGTCTTGTTTTTTCGAGCAACAGTCTTATTTTTGTAGCCACCACTCAAATATGTTAATCTAAAAGGCAAAATTCTACTTACTTCACTTCAAACACATCCTGCAACTTCCTCGCCATAGCAACCACATCGTGGTCAGAAGGGTTGTACTTGTAACAATTACTAAAAATCAGTCTAACGTCGGCGGCAAAGTCTTGAGGAGTGCGATACTCTCGGTTCTCCATTTTATTTTTTACGGTGCTAAAATCCATGGGTTTCTTTATGATGTCGTGGTAGTCGTGCAGACCGAGTAATTCTGCGTCTACGGGTTGATAAAAAGGCCAGGCGTAACTCTGGAAGTCAAAAGATAATTCGTGTATATTTTTTTTCTATCGAGAGGTTATCGAGATGGTTTTTTTTGGGTGTGTGAGTGTTAAAAAGCTTGTTGAAGTTAACTTCAGCGATTTTCAGATATAAAAATTTATTCATCATGATTTAAATGTTCACATAAAATAAAAATTAGCAATTGACGCCAAAATCTTATATTGAGGTCGCGAAGTTGCACCAGCCTCAATTAACGGACTTCGCTTGGCTGTAGAAGAGGAATGGCAAAACATCCAGCAAGATGTTATTTGCAACCTCATAGACAGCATGAGCTGACGTGTACAGGCAGTTTTAGAGGCTAGGGGAGATAATACAAAGTATTATGTTATTTTTTAGTAGTTTTTCTTTGTTATTTGCGTACTTAGGTTAAGTTAAAGGATGTCTGGGACATTCCTTCGATATGTCACCAAAGCCCCCTTCGTCGTATTACAAATTAATACAAAAGATAATGGTAATAATAGGAAAAGACTTAAATTTTGGGTGGCAAAGTCATTTCGCTCTTAAAAATGAACCCATCCATATTTTCACATGAAACAAAAAATATAATACTTAGAAGACATGGTTGCAACCGAAAAAACAAGGTTTTACGAAAATCCGCTAACGGAATTATTCCACAGGATGTTTCAAAGACATAATAAAAACCACCTTTCGATTAACCCCGTATAATAAGTCAAATACAAAGTTTTATTAAAAAACTCATTATACTAAGTTAAAATTTATAAATTTTTACTCAGTGTGCTAAAAAAATCATCAAAATAGGGCTAAAAATAAAAAACTAAAATACTTTGAATTTGACCAAAATGTTCTCCATTGCGTTTTTTTTGCATATGAGTGTATAAAAAACATTTGAGGTAAAAATAAAGGAAAAGGAAAGAAATGGTAAAAAGCACGAAAAACAAAATATAAAGACACAAAGTAAAGAGGAAGTTAAAAAAATGCAACGATATGTTTCTTCTTTCTGTATAATGCTTGATTATTGTGCATTGGCCATACTAATTTTCTTGACAACAGCTCCAGAAAGGGATACAGAAGATCTGTTAAACCATTCCCTCAAGTTTCTAAGCCATGACATTCTTCAATCTGGCCTTATTCCGTCTATCTTGCCTTGTATTATTAATTTAAGTACATTTTATCTCGCTGGTTGACGTATAACATGTCCAAAATATAACATCGTAGTTTGCGATTTTCCCCTCCACTGCAAAACAACACTCGTTACGAACTCATCTACCCAACTTATTCGTAGAATTCTCTGATACATCCAGATTTCAAAGGCTTAAGTTTTCTTTTGTGAACAGAAATGGAATGTTCATAAATCCTATTTTGGATTCTACGATTTGTTTGGCCTATATACGATCGGGGACAGTCTGCACAAAGAATTTCGTAAACTCCATAAGTGTATCAGATAAAGTCTAACCTTCCACATCATATAAAAGAATAGAGAAAACATAACATCTTACTAATCTAATTTTTACTTTAAAAGTGATATTGTTTCCACATTTTCCAGATTTTTTTCATATTAAAAAATGCAGCTCTGGCCTTCTCTATACATATTATAATTTCTTTGCTCATGTCCCAGTTCTCATTAAAATTACAACCAAGATAAGTGATACTGTTGGTTCTCTCCAGTTGTTCTCCATAAGCTGGTAACACTTCTTAAATGTATTTTTTTTGCGTTTTACTGACAACCATCGCCTTTCTGTTTAGTTTGAGTCCATATTGATCACAAGTTGTGTTAATCCTATTAAACAAATGTTTAATTCTTCTTAACTATTTGCAATTAACACCATATGATTCGCGTACCTCAAATTAACAATATTGACGCCATCAATTTTGTTACCACAATAAGTACTACCCAATGCTTTATTGAAATCCCCGAAGTGGAGACAAAATGCAGTCCTGTCTTACTCTTCTTATTTGATTCTCTTTAAAATTATTCCGGCCAATCCTGATGTGTGCATGTTGATGACAATAGGTCTTTATCATCAATATCTACCTGCTGAAGAATCATTGCAGTATGTTTTAATCAATCAAAGGCTTTATCACAGTCAATAAAACACATACAAACTAGATGGCCGACATCTCTGTACCATAACCTGAATACTAAACAGTGTTCTCTGGTTCCAAGGCTATTGCGGAACACAAACTGCGTGTCCACTAAGTTGTTCTTCTATTTTTTGGTACATCCTTGAGTGCAAAATTCGAGGAATATTTTTAAAACATGGTTCGTCAAGCTGCTGGTTTGGTAGTCACCACATCTTTTCGCATTTGCCTTTTTAGGTATCGTCAAAAAAGTCCACAATAGCAATCTGTTGGTATATAGCGTGTTTCCTAAATTTTATTAAAAAGATCTTTTACCTGAACTTTCGAAGAGCTTTATTATTTCACTCGGTATTTCATCAGGTCCCATCGCTTTTCTAGTTTTTCCTAATTGCTTATTGCTGGTTCAATTTCGTCTATAGTTATGTCAGGTCCTGTCACCACTTCTGATTTCAAGATCTCGTCAATATCATTAAACAGTTCCTCAATATATTCTTTCCAGGATATGTTAAGATAGGATAAGGATATGGATATGTTAGAAAACGTCAAATGTTGCTACTCCTGGCATTGATGCTTTATTATAGCAATACATCTAGTTGCATTCGTAATTGGTTAGTTAACAAATATGTAATTATTAACTGAGCAAACGAAAAAAATCCCTAAAATTGTTGAATATGACTTTTTACTAATATGTATATGAGTAAAAAAAAGTTATTGACAAACGGTACTTACAGAATGTTTCTTAGAAAATAATTCTAGGAGGATTTCATTGCAGGCTTTCAGTGATTCTGGTAGTTTTTCTTTTGGTTTAAGTGGAGGGGGTTGTGGCGGGTGACCGTCCAGTTCCGGCCTGGTGGGCTTTTTGATTTGCCTACCGGACTCTCGGCGCGTCGATATCTTTGCGGACTTCGACTCCAAAGTTGGCGGATAATCGTAGGCTGTAGCAGGTGTCGTAGTATCGGCCTTTCTTTTCACGCCCTTTTTTACCTGAAACAAAAAATGCGTGGTAAATTTATGTACGATTTCCTAGTTAAGATCTGGTAGCTGTTTGAAACTATATTATAAATCACGAACTGCTAAAAACGCATACCACATTGGGTAATGACTGTCCCGTTTCATTTGTACATTGTTTTCGCTAGTCACATGGTATTTGATGACACAGTATATTAACTCTAAAATCGTATATATCGAATTAAAAAGCAAACATCATATTTAATGACCTAAAATCGGGTATATTGGCGCCAATAGAGTTAAAAAAGATTATACGATCTGGCTACTAAATAACGAGACTGCGCGCGCAGAAGGCGTTCTAGAGGGGAAGAGTGGGAAACGAATGCAGCATTGGATAGCTGAAAGTTTTTGTGGCTGTAGTAGTATTTTTTCTGTAGAGGTTAGAAAAAAAACGTGTTTTTTTTATATATTTGAAATCTATAAAATTGAGACAATAAAAAAAGTACTAATAAACAGTTTTTCGTGTTTTTTCTTTAAAAAGATGTATTTTTAGGTTAAATACACTTAATCTACCGGTCTATTCGCTCCGTGCGTGACTGACGCGACACCTATTGCCTTCATCTGACAGTTTTGGACCTCCCAATTTGAGGTTAAACATATGTTAAATCCATAAGAAAATTGACAATTATTAATAATTAGTTTTTTAATTATATTTTTTCAGTTTATGTACAAAATAAATCTAGTATTAAAAACTGGGTTTTTAAAAATACATCACAATTTATTTTCAACCAAAACGGCGAAGAAAGGTAAAAATCTAGTACTGGAAAATCAAGGAGCATGTAATTAAAAACAATAATAGTAAAAGTTATGATATAAAAAAAGTCATCAGACAGGCTGCAGTTAGCTTGAAACCTTATGAAACATCATTTAAGGTAAATTGTTTAAATTTTTCCTATTTCAATTAAATAAAAATGAAATTATGTGATATAGACGTTTTCATCTTTCTTGGCGTGTGCGTGTAAAAACACTTGCAATAAGTTGTTTCATCTGTCTTTCCTTGTCTAAGCTCGATTCGTTTACCTCCTCCAGTGGCAGCTATCTGTATTCGTAAAGAGGCCCAACTTATCACCGACACCGTATCGGCCAAACGCATCGGTGTTATTGCTACAATACTGGAGAACGTGAGTGGTCTCTTCATTCCCTTCTCATCGCACTTTACCATGACGAACGTGACTCGCACAACTGAATTACGCATCTGTGTATCAGAGAGAGACGAATATTAAAAATTCCGTAGTAGCTTATTTCAGGCACACGCCAAGAACGATGAAACCGAGTTTATTTACTTTTTCATATTAATAGCATGAATGCATCTTTTTCTTTTCTCTAATTTATATGTAATCTTTGGAAATCTATAAAAACTACACTATTTTTGCTATTATTAGCTCAATTAAATACGCAACATGTATTTGCACCCATTTTTGATAAAATTTATGCGTAAAAAGATAGGTCCAACTATGCTATGATAAAGTAAAATAGAGTTAGGGCGCAACGCATCGAGCAATAAGACAAAAGAGGGAATCTAATCCTTATGAAAAGGAGACCAAAAAAGTGGCCTCTGATGGCGGACATATCCGGAAATGCAAATGCGCCAAATTTAAATTTTCAGACACTTATCAACAGTAGCTATATAATATTTTTCAGAATGTGTCTTAGACGAGAAAGTTTTAATTAATTATTAATGATAAGAGTCTGAAATGCGACACAATTGTTAAAAAACTTCAATATAAATAAGATTTCATGTGACATTTGGGACAAACAATAACATAACCCAACTAAATTTGATGTCAAACAAGGAGAGAGACTCTCTATCCTTGTTTAAATGTGGCCTCTAAAGATCGCACTTCCTGTCTAACAATATGTTTGCCCCCACTACCTTTACATTCCCTCTTTTGTCTTTTTGCTCGATGGCGCAACGACACTGGTTTGACAAGTGATAATGTGTATATTATTATATCTCTATAGACGTATGCTTTAAAAACTCACACAACTGACACTTTAAATCAGTAGAGTTGCACGCTAGCTATCTTTTATTTAATCTTTGATACAGCGCTTTTGTATCATCTGGCAACCCTAATTTTATACTATTTTTCTCAGGCAAACATATTAAGCAAAAAATTAGCTTTCATTTGGTATAATAAACATACATATACGTCATGAGAAGTGTATTTTATTTAAAAAATTAATGAACGAAATAACATTGTCAAAAACTAATTACTATTAATTAAATTAAAAATATTTGCGGCCACTTTTTGACTGTAAACCCAATATCAATGTATTCTTCCAATTTTAAATGTATGTAAAAATGTGAGTTTGATTAACCACGTTAAATCACGTATCACTGTATATTTATTAACATCGTAAAATAGACTTACCTTGGCTGGTTGTGCCGGAGGTATAACGTTGGCAGGCATGACGCTGCTGGAATCTAAGGAATTTCCTAAACTGGAGCCGCTTCCGTGAATGGAACTGGAAGAAGAGTTCAGTTGCTGATTCGACAGAGAGCTGTTATTGGTGCTAGCCGCGGCTATGGTGGTAGTTGCGGTGCTGCCAGGTACTGTAGCCGGTGCTTGAGTGCCTAAAGGCAACCCTGAAGATCCTGTAAGAAAAAAGAAATCTTTTGATTTTTTTGTCGCACACGTTTCAGAGTAAAAATTTCATTATGTTAACCCTTCTATAAAAAAATTTGGGTCAATAATAAAATATCAATGGTTTGTTTATGACAACAGATTTCTATGAAAATGTACCTGATCGAGGCTTGAGGCTTAACTATTGGGAAATTGCTAACCTTTTTCCCTTGTTTAATAAACAATTATCAGCTGAACAGTCGGTTACTACACTCAGGTGCAAAAAATCGATCCATTCCTTATTTCTTATTTATTTGAAGTTGTATAATTTTAGAGACATTAAATTACGTATGTAAATTTAGGTGTACCCTCGTATACGAGAAATAAAATAATATTTGATAGATTGGTCGACCGTTACTTGATGGAAATTCATTTTATGTAACAATAAAACACTGAAAACTTTGTTTTCAAACTTCCACAAAATTTATTTTAAATCTTATCACTACAGCTGTTTCGGCTGATTGCCTTTCTCAAGTGATCTATTTTTGGCCTTTGTAAACCCAAGCCAAAAATAGATCACTTGAGAAAGGCAATCAGCCGAAACAGCTGTAGTGATAAGATTATGTCAATATTAACGGAATTTACTTTGTATAATAAATAATAAGTTATTTGCCTATATTGCCCTATGTTAGATTTCGGCAGTTTTTAATAAAAATCTTTGTATACTTAAAGGCGCCTTTTTCTTCAATTTTTTTTTTGTGTAAATCTCAGCTCTGTTCATTTCTTATTATTTTGCATTTTATATATATCATTATATTATAATATGAATAATAAAAAGTGGTCCAAATGTAACTCACCTGTAGTGGTAGCAACTGGAGTGGCGCTTGTAGAAGAGACAGTGGCGGGAGGCCTACCCCTGCCTCCCGAACCAGCGGTGGCTGTAGTTGGTGTTGGGGGTGCACTGGCAGCGCCCGCTGTACTGGTCCGCCCCTTCTTTCCTTTTGCCGCTCCCGCTTTATTAGGCGATTCAACAACGAACTCCTCCTTTGGCATATCCGCCACTTTTGTCAAAAATACCTGGAAGAAATCATTAGATAAAAACAAAGTAGAGAACTAATAAAAACACTTACTAGTGGATAAAATCTAGAGAGTTCCAATTCGTCGGAATTAACGCCACTGGACGTCTATAATTTGTATACATTACAGAACTCACCTTTTCTAACGTTTGAGCCATGACAACAACATCCTCTCCAGGCTTGTTGTAGACATAGCAGTTTGTAAACATCGTGTTGAAGTCTTGAATGCACTCTTTGCCCGACCAGTAGTAATTGTTGTCTAGTCTTTTCTTAATTGTTCCCAGGTCCATTGGCTGTTTAATTATTCTATGGTAGTCCTATAAAAAAATGTTTTGTCATAAAACTATATATACCTAATGTGAGTATGTATGAAAAACATAGTAAAATAGGAATAATCTACCTTTGTGTAAAATCGTATCAAATGTAGGAAGACTGAATGTGTGTTATGTGGGAATCCCAAAATATGAATATTGCTTGTACAGCTCACGATGTTCGTCCAAAAAATTGAAATAGTGACCTAATTTTGAACAACTTTAAACTTCAATTTCAACCATTACTAATTAGGCTTTGTTGAAGTTTCAATGTATGCCAGCTAAGCCTTGAATAAAAAGCAGAGAACACACCTAAGCGACCACAATAGCGATATTAAGTCCACGATGGCAATATTTCTGTAGAAAGCGAACATACCGCATCTGCGATTTCAATAGTATGAATAATACAGTTGGAAATATAGTTTATAAAATGTGCGATTTACAAGAAGAAGCAGTGCAAAAATTTAATAAAAGGTATAGTGAGTGGCCAAATTATTAGAGACACTATATATATTTTTGTATTTTCTATTTAAATGGTTTTTTTGACCAAAAAAATTGGTGTTCATATATCGCACTAATAATACAATAGTGTCGCAACTCAAAATGTTTCGAAATTGACAAAACACTATATCCATACGTAAAATTAAATTCCCTATAGGTCAATAAAACTGTCGTTTTAATAGTGCAATAAATTAATAAGGGATGCGGCATAAGACGTTATTCATGACTGACCAACTGTCATCACCCCCTCACAATATCGCGTTATCTTTAGTTGCGACCAACAGTGATCGGGAACGCACGTGTTGCTTTGATCATCACTTCAAGTTTCCACGTTATTGCTGGATCATGTATGTAATTTTCCTAGCTATATTTCGAGTTATTACATACATTCTTGTTGATTTGAATCTAACCATAACATTGCTGTATTTCTAGTTATTGCACTATTACTGATTTACACCAGCACTTTTTAAATTAATATTTTCACTAACGACACTATTAGTGGTTCAGTTCATTATTTTTGACATGTTACATTATTATTGAATCATAACTTTAAATCATGTTTGTTGTTTGTAAAACATTTTTATTAATCATTACCTATTTGTCGATCGCCGGATAGTAATAACTCATTTAAAATGTGTAGCAGTGTTATTAGGAAAGCTTACGTACGATCTATTTTATTTTATAAATTTAAAAGTTACTACACTCTTTGTGAAATTCTTATGAGTGACTATGGGTGACTGAGTCCTGGGCGATTACTTGTTTTGACAACAAATGCTGAGAATTGCGAGCAGGAAATCTCTTCGCCGTCTTTATTGTCACTGGAAAGTACAAATAATGAACCTGTTGCCCAAATAGAAAAGTGACGTTGCGAAATTACAACCACCACCTATAAGAATACTGTATTTTATTATCTGTATGTGAATTTGTTTGATTATAATATAAACGTAATTATGACAGTCTTAATTTATTTATTAATATCAAAAACAACAATTCTCGGTAATTGTTAACGAGTAATACAATCTCTTTAGATTCAATGTTAACAAATACCAAGAATCAAGAAGGAGTAACTTACACTGCTTGTATTGGGCAAATTTGATGTAATAATACCAAAAAATGCGTTGTTAACTCATAAATGACAAAAAGTGGACTTGGTTCACTTCTATTCTGAACCCTCTAAATAATAATTGCTGTTGCATCTCAGTTGGTCATCGGCTGTTATCGCAGTGAGGCTTAAAAATATTTTCAAGTTGTTTAAAACTTTTTTAAAGTGTTTCTGCTAGGTTTCCGTGTCAGATATATTTAACAGGTAAGTAATATTTGTTATTTAGTCATTTTTGCTGCCTTTAATGACACTATTTTATTTAAAAACATTGTTCAAAATCAAAATTATTTTTTAATATAAGAAAAATTACAGACTTGTCTCCAGGACTAATTAGAGAAATAAAAACAATGTTACTGCACTCTACACTTTCCCAAAGAGTAATAGCAACTACTGCAGGTGTTTCTTAGTCTGTAGTAAATTGAATTAAAATAAAAATTGAATCAAACGAGGCATTGGAACCGGGCCGTGTTGGAAAATGTGCCAGAAAGATGATCACTACTCCTCGTACTGACTGTAAAATCAGGGACATTTGTCTCTAAAATCGTAAGAGTGTGGCACATCTGACTACGATGATAAATACCGAAGGAATTAATGTTTCCAAAAGCCGAGTCTGACGAAGAATGGCCAAAGAGAATCTGATAGTTTGCCGACCTATGAAAAAACCACGGCTCACCGAAGCCATGAAGAGAAAGAGATTAATGGGCCAAGAAGCAGCGCCGAAGTATGACCGTTGAAGACTGGAGTCGAGTAAGTATAACTTTTTTTAACGAATGTAGTTCGTGAACAGCGAATATTTCCATTTTTTCGGTTATGTTTGTTTGGTTTGTTGGACAAAAACGCGTTCGTCTGACGACGTCCTGGGGAGCAGTTCCATCCAGATTGCATTGTGGAGAGGGTTAAACATCCGGTTAGTGTCGGAGGGTATGGGATACCCTATGAGGGTATCAAAGAACGGTTCCCTGGTTAAAAAAATTACATTTTTATGTACGATTCTGCACTGTGCCACAAAGCTAGAAATGTAACTGCATTTCTTTCGAAAGAAAATATTGCAGATGTGAACTCCATAGGGTGTATGTGAGAGTTAACCAAACGGGATATCGCCAAAGATGATATTCACAACGAAGCAGCAGTTGATTGAAGAATGGCATCATAGTCCAAAATTAAACTACAGTGCAGAAGTTTGTATTCAGAGCATCCCCCGACGTATAGAAGCTGTAATTGCAGCAAAGGGTGGCATCACTAAATATTGAAATTAGTGATTTTATGTAACATTTTTTTTTTGCGAAAAAATAAACGATTTTACTAACAGAACTCATTGTTTTTGTAACCTTAATACCACACTCTTTTATACAAAAAATAGATGCAAGCCTTAAAGCCAACAACTTGCTAAAAAATTCAATTAAACTAGAAAATTAAGAAATTATCTTACTGTCCCTAATAATTTGACCACCTGTTGTATGTGTAGGAGTTCTATTTTTCCGTTTACAAATGCCGATATTTATACAGTTTAATTTGCAGAAAATAATCAATAAATTTTTATTAAAAAAAAGGAATGTCTCTAAAAATATCATGATTGTGATGTTTGGGATTCCCACAATAACGGAAATGTTCAAATAGAAAATTGAGTGAATATACTCACGGGCAAGTTGAGTTTTCTGGCATCGACCGGTTGCTGGAAGGGCCAAGCGAATTGGTGCTTCCAGACAGCCTTTAACACAGTTTTCTGTAAAAACTGAAGTTGATTGGTTACGCGGCCCGGACTCTCTGGAGGTGGATGGACTGGCGGCTGGACCACTCCATTCACTGGTTCCACAGGGGGTTCGTTTCGGGGTGGGCGTTCCATTTTTCCTCCCTGAAAAACAGTAATTAAAATCAGCATAAATATTTCTTTTAATATTACTAAATAAGTAAAAAAACAATATCGACTTGAACATAATATTAAAGATCTTTCAAATCATATACGAGGGTAATGCGAAAAGTATTGACAAGCTTTTTATTTGTTTATTTCTCAATCTAATCTATCTTCGCTATAACAGTCCAAAGCCTAGGGCGCCTCGCACAAAAGATGAGGAAGGAGGAGGAATCGAAGAGTAAAACCTCGATAACATACCAGGGTTCATCTGGTCCCGATGAAGGCCTGTAAGGGCTCCTAATCCAGGATTACGAATAAAGAATATAATAGATAGGAAAACGAAGATATATCAGAAAGGTAGATGCTGCTCCTAGAATTAGTATAGCAGCATAAAGAAACACTTATTTGTTTCTGAGAAAATATCTCAAAAGGCGAATGAACCAGTTTTGTGGTTAAATGCATATGGATCTGTGGCAGATCTTAGATGATCCAAGGGTACCGAGAATCCCACGAAGTATGTTGATACAAGTAACTTCTGATTTAACAAAAATTCCACTTTCAATTGTATAAACTATTAACTTTAGATTGACCCAAGAAACCTAAAAAAAAATGTATTCCGAAACAAAAAACCGGTGATTTTTAGGATTTGTTTGAAAAAATTCAATTTTTGTTCAAAAATTTTGCCATACACCCTTCTGATTTGTTTAAAGGCGACATTTTTGTGCAGGAATCCATAAATTCTTTTTCCCTAGCAGTGGAGTATTTTTAAAAACTGTCAATTATTGTTCATTATATTACATTGATACAATGACTTATCGCCGACTTTTAAGCGAAAAAAAAAACGAAAATAACACTGCAATTTATGGTTTATTTAAAGTTTTATCGCCTGAAGGTCGTGTATATCGCTTCTGGGAATCACTACCGTTTTCAATGGAAAGAATTCGACCGCAAATTGCATAGTGTTTTGCATATATTATACAAATTGTATACATTTAAATGGGAAAATTCTAGTCCCAGAAATCAAATAAACGATGAGGCAGATAATGGTATTAAAATTTAGAATTATATTACAGGATTTCGATGTAAAAACCGAATAGGCGAGTAAATGAAGCACTAAACCTACCAATTTTTATCGTAGTAAGACGAATCGCTGTGTAATGCCTAAAGTGTAAGGAAAGTTTGTGAACAAAATTCACAATGGTAAAATGAAAATTGCATAAAAAATAAAATTGCAACAAACAAAATTTTCGAGAGTCGCTGAATACGAATATGATAACGACGTTGGTCCTCGAGCTACCTGGTGCTCATGGTGGACCTCCTCTCCTGGAGTTTTAGGTTATTTTCATTCGAAATCGAAAATTATGACGGCAATGTTTCGTGAGCTACCTGGTAGAGGATGGACCTAGTCTCTTGGAGTCATACGTTATTTTCACTCGAAATTAGCCGAAAATCAGTACTTGGAAGGTTTTCGACGTCGCTGAACACGAATATTATGACAGCGATGTCTCCAAGGTATCTGGTGCCTAGGGTGACCTCGTCTCCTAGATTTTTTATGTCTATAAAAATCGTAAAGAACAAATTAACAAAAAACTTCAGGAGACGAGGTCCACGCTGGGCCACAGATACCTTGGAGATCATCGCTGTTGTAATATTTGTGTTCAAAATCCCTAAAAACCCTCCGAGTAATGACTTTCGACTGATTTCTAATAAAAACATAACGTGCCCGGAGAAGAGGTCACCTTAGGCACCAGGTACCTTGGAGACCATCGCTGTCGTAATATTAGGTAGCTTAAGAAACATTTCCGTCATAATATTCGTATTCAGCGACCTCAAAAACCCCTGAGGAACAAAATTAAACTCATTCCTGTCGATATGTTCTTAGTTGCATTTTTCATTTTCTGTGAACATTGAAAATGCGTTTTCCTTTTGCACAAAACGCATTTTTCATTTTACTACCATTTTGTTTAAACTTTCCTGACACTTTCCCAAATGGAATGCAAAAAGTTTCACAGCGATTTATCTTACTGCGGAAAATTGGTAGGTTTAGTGCTTCATTTCTTTGCCTAAAAAATTTCTTGAGGATTTTGTTGAAAGATTTCAAGTAGCACCAGAAATGACTGATTTCAATGGTTTTCCAAACTTTATTCGTGACAGTGTGACATTAAGGATGAACTTTTTAATATATCTTCTAAAATCTATTAGGATTGAAATTACAACTTATGAGATTGTGCGAATATATGACTGAATAGGAACTGAAGTAGCTGATAATGAATCTACACCTACAAGACCATGTAGATTTGTTGTAACACATACATATGGAGGTTCTTGAACTTTTATGAAACTAGAAGCAGAAGTAAAGATGGTCGCACGACTCATTCAGATCAAAGATCCTTATAATGAGCCGTAAGAGTCGGTGCTCGAAATTATTACAGCCCGAATCAAATGTGATCCTAGAATCTCGTCTGTCACTTTCCTTTTGAAAATAATTTACTATTTGTGACAATTCTTCAGTTGTAACATCTAAAAAGAAAATTATAATACCTATGTTGTATGCCTACGTCTACTTTCAAATTTAAACTACCGCCTAGCTCAAGTGTTAATTGTTTCAGCATGAAACCTCTCAAAATTTCAAAACCTCTGATTTTCACCGACTCACTCAGTTCTCTTCTTGCAATACATCTGTATCCTAAACAGCCTTTGGAGTTACTAATAAAAACTGAACTACAAATCGCCCAAGAGAATCACATAACTCCTAAATTTATATGGATACCATCGCATATAGGAATTATCAGCAATAAAGAGACAGACAGTAGTGCTCGTGATGCAGCAACAAGTGTGGAAGCGTGAGAGTGTATGTAAAGATCTCAAAACGTTTTTTAAACAAAAAGTGATTGGTCAGTGGCAGCGCGAATGGTTTCTATCACAATCTAAATTAAGATCGTTAAAACCAGATACACGACAGTGGAAAACTAGTTTCAAACTGTTTTAACGTGCCTCGGTATAGGACACACTAAGACACACACTCTTATTTACTTTCGGCCAGTGAACGCCCCCTGTGCGACCTATGTGCTACGCCTCTTACCGTCGTCCATTTGTGAATTGAGTATCCAAAACACCATAGAGAACGTCCAATAAACAATATACCAAATATTCTACCAGATTTATTAGGAGGAAACTGTCACGTAAAAAACTTATTAAATTATCTAAGGTCAATCAATATTTTGTATCAGATTTAAAGTTTTGTTCACTGAGTAACGCCGCTAATAACCTGTTGGTGGATGCGGCAATGTAGTAAATATCACAACATACCATTGGCTCACGAATACCGTGACAATCATCGCATTTCGCCTTATGTAAGTAAAAAAACGATGCAAATGACGTTAGTTTTCTCTATAATAGTCGAAATTGAATACTTACGCAAATAGTTCTGGTTAATAATGACCTGGGCCTACCAATCAGCTGGTTATAATCTTCAGCGGATACAAATCACATTCCATTTTACATATGGTTTCTTAGTAGATAAAAGCCATCATAGCTTGGATCTGTAAAGAAAAAAACATATTTAATAACTCGTGCAATCAACTATGCTTTTATAATAAAATTTATTTTAGTTATTGTTTCAGTTAAATGGGTTGGTAATTCAAATGGAAAGATGTTTGACCACGTTGTTCCCTACAAAGTATACACGTATTGCTATGTCAATGAAGGACTGATAATATGTTGTTAAGGGCACTTAGAGAACATCAAGTCCAGGAGCCTCAGCTGCCTGCATGTGGAAATGAAACAGTAAGGCTTGAGTAACACTTAGTGCTGTATTTGAACGAAATGTAATAATTTATCTAGAAAGAGAACACGATACATTTAAAGTTTCTTCTAATATTTGTTCCAATCGATCATCTACCAAGACCGAAGATGCTTATAAATACAAACTGTAACTAGAACATCTACTGCTAAACAGTTGTAAACTAATCTACATCGAGATACATCGAGTAAATCTCAGCTTTTTTATATTTACATAAGTTTTTAGAGCAATCTTGACATTAAGTCTGTGCTTGGAGGCATTAAAAATAAAACTTTTTGGAGTTTCAGAGTCTCATTATATATGGGATCCATATAAAAGTGGATCAAGTTTTTTTGCAACATCACCAAGGTACATCAGTTGTGTGTATACCACACAAAATGCTCGTTTTATATGCAATTGGATTGAGTTAGATATTGATGGCATATTTTCTTTAACTTTCAAGTTCCTTCTGACGACTGAAATCGCTGCGCTGCCCACGCAATAAATTCTTGATCTTTGGGTGAATACCGTGAAGAAGTCGCTGGGACTTAGGTAGGGGCTATATGGTGGATAGTAATCGATGTTTTGAAGCTATAAAAACTCTATTGTATTTGTCAGTGTGAGCACTTGCATTGTACTGATGTAGGATGATTCGTCGTTGTATGTTGCTTCGTCGAAGTTTCGGGGTAACATATGGTAAACGAAGGGTTATATACCATCACGTCATCTTGAAACCCCCACAGAGCGGATTTTCGTTTGTTTTCCGGTTCGTAGCGGTAACTACAAGATTCATTGATACTAACAATACTATAAACGTTTTTTGAGTTTCCTTTGTTAAACCGTTCAAATGTTTTTCGACACCAATTCACGCGAACCACTTTTTGCGAACCGCAGTTTTTCACATAGGATTTTGTGGATCGAGGTATTTGAAATGCCAAAAGATGTGACTGTTGTTTTGGGTGGACCTGGCTGGGATTATCCTCTTCGAAAATTGTAAAAAATTATTGCCAGAAAATGTTCTCGGCTAAGATCCATTCTTCGACCGACTTCGAAACCATCGATTTACATTAACAAAAGATTGAGGTTATATTTGTGTAGGAAGGTTTTATCGGTGGAACCCTATAAGCGGCTATATACAAAACTAAGTTTATCACAACTTTTCACATTTTGAGCTCTTCAGAAGTTTAAAATTTTCTCGAAAACTTTGTAAAAATGAAATTAATTAACAAAAACGGATCAATATCACAAAATGCTTTCTCAAAAGGGACTATAGTTTTGTTAAGATATAAAAAAAAACTTCTTTTAAAATATATTCCTTTGGATGAATTATTACTTTGTGAGATAGCAAGGCATTGAAGATTAATGAAAATTCATAAGTTATTAGCCTATACAAAAAGCTCATATAATAGAGAAAATATAATACAGTTTGAAATAGAACACACATTAAGAATTATAGAACGTTTCTCTCATCATAAGAAAATGTATAAAAAAACGGGTGTGGCAGTCCAGTGGGACTGCCGGTAGAAGTTATACTTCTATACACGCGTTCACCGTTAATAATTAATATGGAAGTCAATCTGCACAATCATTACATATGTAATGCTATAGGTAAGAGAGAGCAGAAAGAGAAAAAATATTTAGGTATATAGGTATATGGTGCATAGTTTTCTGTATATAAACATTTGACCTGTAATAGGAGTATAGTAAATGAAGGATTGAATCAACTTTAATGAAAATATATATTTTTATTTTCATGTATAAAATGACAAATTCATGCCCCAAAGTATTTAAATGAACCAGTCCATTTAATTTATCAGCTGACGTAAGCTTTTTCGAGTTGTATCACAGCCGAGTGATACAAAGCCGAGTGATTTTAGAGTTGTATCAGACAGGGATGTGTTTTGTCACCGATGTTGTTTAATGCACTGAACCAGTTTTTGAAATAGCCTTAAATAATCGCCCCGAAGGTGTTAGGTGGTGAAATTATTAATAACATCAGATACGCCGATGACACCGCAATAATGGCAGATAGTCTAGAAGATCTTTAAACCCTGTTGAATGCTGTAAACAACGAATGCACTGAAAAGTGCTTAACAATCAACGCAAAAAAAAAACAAAATGGATGGTGGTTGGAAAAATTAATATCGAAGACTCAGTACTAAGATTAGGTAACAAAATCCTGGAAAGGGTGGAACACTTTAGATATCTGGGTAGCTGGATTGACTGCAGGGTTGAAAGTGGCGAGGAAATTTCGACCAGAATAGAACTCGCACGGAAAAACTTTATTAACTGGCGTTCTATTATGCAGTAGAAGTCTGTCGTTGACCACACGTCTAAGAGTATCGAAGTGCTACGTCCAGTCCACTTTGTTCTATGGATGTGAAACCTGGACAACAAAAATAAAAAATCTTAACAAATTAGAAGCGTTTGAGTTATGGTGTTACCGTCGCATGCTCAGAATCCCGTGTGCAGCACACATATCTAACGAACGTGTGCTAGAGACCGTGCACAAAGAGCGAAAATTGATCAACATCATCAAAATGAGAAAGGTACAATACTTCGGTCATATAATGAGAGGACCTAAATATCGCTTATTCCGGTTAATCATTCAGGGCAAAATCGAAGGAAAACGTTGAGTCGGAAGAAAACAACTGTCCTGGCTGCGTAACATTAGACAATGGACAGGTCGAACGGTCGAGGAACTGTTTCATCTAGCTGCCGACCAAGAATCATTTCATCAGCTTGTCAATATGACGATAGCCAACGCTTGAATACAAGCACGGCACACAAAAACCACAGCCGAAAGAATGAGCTGTCAACAAAGATGATATGAAATATTTCATTTTTTAGTCAAAATATGGATTGGTACAAATTGTCTATTTTGCCAGTAGAAAAATCAAATCTTGATATTTTCCAAAATTTTGAAAACGCCCCAGTAAAAATATAAAATTATAGGTACAGTGTACAGTAAACTGCTACGATAATTTGTTGTATCACAAGTATTTCACGTGACATAAATTTTACATGTAATCTGTATCTATATCTACGTGGTTACAATGGTACTCAATATCAATTAGATCACTCTTGACTACTTAAAATTAAATGCATAGTTCGTGGCTCTGGCCATCACATAAGCTTTTTTTTTCAAGAAGGTAACTGTTCTCGCAAGTAGTTACAGAAATTTCAACTGTAAAAAAATCTTTTTTCTATAAATTTTACTAAAAATTGCTGTATTGGCATATTTTAATACATAAGATGTTGTTTCTCTGGAACCCGATTTCTATAATTCACTTTTATCGATGGAATTAATAAAACAGAAAATCGCCACTTGACTAAAAAATAGTTACAATTGCCAAGATATAGTGCGTCTAAGCTATTAAATTGAACTAATATTTGACGTTTTGTTTTGTTTCGTTTTGAAAAAAATCTTTCGAGTCGTCAAACTACTTTGTTAGATTTTATAAAACCTACATCAAAATAAATTGAATTGCCAATTTTATATTTGTAATACAAATTTTGTATATCTAAGATTTAAAAAAAAATTGTGTAAACTGGTACTTTTCTGGCTTATATACTTTATGATCGTTTACTAGTGTATCCTGAAGAAAAAATAGGCAAATACCAATGTAGATTTCGAAAAAAAAAAAAAAGGTCAACAATGGATCAGATTGTCCTTCTCAGACAAACCTTAGAAAAGACATATGAATATGGAATTGATACCCATTACCTCTTCATAGGTTTTAAAAGTGCTTATGACAGTGTAGACAGAAGCACTTTATAATGCCATGGCAGAACTAGATATTCCGTCGCAGCTAATAACATTGGTAAAGGCAACTCTTTCGAAAGTTGAGTGCAAAGTCAAGGTACAAAACAGAGTGTCAAGGTCTTTATTATTATTTAACATCGCGCTAGAAACAGCCATAGAGAAATCGGGCATAACAAGCAGAGGTACGATCATCAATACAAGTGTACAGATATTGGCCTACGTAGATGACATTGACATTGTAACACGGACAAAACGAGACCTGATACAGGATTTTGAAACATTAGAAAAAGCCGAAGACAATGGGACTGCAGGTTAACGCATCCAAAACAAAATACATACGAACAGCACACAAATAGCAGCACCACAAGATCTGGTAACAGAAGCACACACATTCGAAGGGGTCTCGGTGTTTATATATCTTGGAACACAATTAATAACAGCAACCTAGTAAGTGTAGAAATTAAGAGAAGAATATACCTGGCGAACAGAGCTTACTTTGGACTAAAGCACTTCTTAACATCACACATAATTAGCAGAAAACCCAAGATACTAATATATGAAATTCTTATTAAACCTGTCCTGACATACGCGTCAGAGACATGGACTACGATAAAAAGCGACGAAGAACTGTTAGGCCGCTTTGAAAGACGAATACTTAGACACATATACGGAGAAGTACAAGAAAGCGGGATATGGCGCAGACGCTACAATTTTGAGTTGTATCAATGCTATAAAAAATGCAACATCGTCAGGTCTATTAAAATTAATAGACTAAGGTGTTAGGACACCTTGAAAGAATGGACCCTGGAGACCCCCAAAGACAGATATTCTATCAAGAGCCAGTAGGAACCAGGAGGAGAGGCAGGCCAAGATCTAGATTTAAAACTCAAGTCGAAGATGACTTGAGGAATCTAGGGGTCAGAAATTGGAAAGCCAAGGCGAAAGATAGGGGGGAATAGAGACTAATTCTTGAACAGGCCAAGACCCACCCAGGG